AAACTGTYAAATTATTACCCTTAAAGKGCCCRTGACATGAYATTTTTGTAATAAAAATGAATGTATTTTTGGAAGGATAACGCTGATAATATTGTAAAAAAGATTTCATGCTGCTGAGATGAACAGCTGTTGAGATATTTGCATGTGGAGTAACAGGAAGTGATGTCAAAGGGGAATGTCTGCATGTAAACAGAGCATTGTTAAAATGGCTAACAACACAGACTGCAGAGAAGAATCTGATGTTTCTTTAGATTATTTTAATCACTATCATAGAGAGATGAGGAAGAGTCAGAGTTCAAATAATATTGCTTAAATAAACAAAAAACAGAGAGTTTTCTTTCTCAAAGAGTTCCCCTTTGATGTCACTTCCTGTTTCAGTTTAACTAAGCCAAGGTCAAAAGAAAACGTGCCAGTTATGTGACATAACAGGTAAAAATCATATGTTTTATGCCAAGTTTCTTAAATATAAATATATTTTCTTTGACTTTTTGTATTTCATGGATATGCATGTCACAGGTACTTTAATATATAGAGATTTACACCAAGTGGTAYKTTTATCTGTAATGACTCATTTATGCAAAACAGACTAGAAGTTTATATTTCTGCTTCTTATGTCCACTCCTTGAGACTAACCCGAGCCTCAGACTTTGGTTCAGTCAGGTGGGATTTTTAATTTCCACATCTGGGCTCATTTGCAGCTTGGTAGCGTTTTCTGAGAGCGACGTCAGATTAAAGATGTAATTCCTTCACTGTGCCTCTCCACTGCGTAGGAATGAAAGAGGTGKGCTGTGTGGAGGTTGCAGGTTGGACTCAGAGGACCGGGGTCTTCGAGGTCGTGACCCCTGTCAGAGCGTAATTGGAGGAGGAGGCCCTGGAGGGTTCTGGACGAAGCGCAGTCTAAGCTCAATGTGATTGAGTTTGACAACGGGGTACAAACCTGAGGCGTGGTCTCTACACAGGTCCACACACAGGACAAAGACGTCTCCGTTCTGGAGACGCGACAAGAATTCGGTCGTCCATAATCGATTCTGAGACATTGCTCTGCCCGCGCACAAAAGTTTAAATTCAGGTTAATCTGATAACTAGTTGAGTTATCGCTGAAGAAGAGTGCATCAATCTTCAGAGGGGAGCATATTGCGCCTCCTCTTTGAAAATGACTAAATGTACCGGAGCTTTTTTTAGCCCTTTGCTCGGATGTTTACAGATAAGACCCCTGCCCTGAATGTCAGCAGCAGCCATCCTGGGGCCTGATTAGATTTGGGGAGGGTGATAAATGTGCCAGAGTCAGAGGGTGCCATGCCTTCGGGGCGTTGCTTTCCTGGACCTCGAGCCGTCCTGGTGAATCAGCGCTCTCCCCTGGGAGTGAGGGGGTGAATTGGGGAAGTGTGCAGGGCAAGGCCAGGCTGGGCCGCTCCCCCTGCCACAGGAGGTGCCTCGGGGGGCAGAGGGCTGGTGCCAGGGTCAGAGCCTCCCAACCACGAACCGGGACTTTTTCCGACCCCAGTTGTTCTTCCATCAATGCCTGCGTTTCTCCTCCTCTTGTCAAGGCCATTCTGAAACCATGGGATCACAGTGAAAATAAAGTGTCTTTTGTGCTGAAGTTTACTGAGATCATTTCAAAATTCCCATGAGAAAAAAATGCTTACACAGCATTACCAGCCTCACCCAGAGTTCATGTGTCTGATAACACTCAGAAACATAAATGTCTGCATGTAAAAAAACAAACAAAAAACATCTCAAGTTTTGTTTGCTTGCTGCGTACTACAGGCTGGAGCTTCCCAGGTGATTTTCACCAATCCTCTGGAGATTGTTAAGATCCGACTGCAGGTGGCTGGAGAGATCACCACGGGCCCCAGGGTCAGCGCCCTGAACGTTGTGAGGGACCTCGGCTTCCTCGGCCTGTACAAGGTGGGTCAGCACCTCTGCAGCTCCATGACGTCTGCAGAATCCACCTCTGCTAACGTCACACAAGGACAAAGGAAGGTCCAGACATACAATAACATTGGTTTGTTTTACACTTTTACAAATTGTACAATAAAGTGATAGTTCAGATCCTTGAGGTGGGGTTCACTGGAATCAATATAAACAATGCCTGTTGTAGATAGCTCTTTTACGACTTCAGTTTAGAAAAACACAAATTAATAAGCTAACTGTTAGCTGAGCTAGGTCAAGAATAATAGTAAATGCAGGGATTAAAGCAATAAATAAAATCTTATAGACTGCTGCCTGCTTAGAACAGGAACTGTAGAACGACTGATGCTTTCACCTGCAGTCTCTCCCCAAATTGGAAACACTGCTACACTTGGGCTTGCTGTATCTCAGAAAGCACCTCGTCCTGCTCTGATTGGGTCAAACTATGGCTCTGGTTTGCTTTATTTGTTCAAAGCAGCGTCAGTTAAATCCTTGTATCAATATTATGTTAGATGACTTTAATACAAAAAAAATTTCCCTTCTCATTTTTACAGATGACGGAAATCCGTCCTGGCCACATTCAAAATGACGGAAATCCGTCATGGCGACAGAGAAMTTTACTTCCTGGTAAAATATTTTTTATAAACTGCTCGTTGTTTAAATTTTTCAGATTGGAGTTGTTTTAAGACGGTGGYAATCCAGCAGTTAGCTCATCAATCAAGTCAGAATGAAACCGAATGCTATCTGCAACAGGTAAAATATTATTTGTTCATATACTTTTCACAGAACCCTACTTTCAAAGATCTGAACTACTTTTTTCATTTTTACCTTATGAGATGCAGATAATAATCAGTTTTTTCTCACTTTCCCAGAATAAACCAAACATTTAAAAACATAATAAAAATGTCCATGAATTGTGAAGAAAAATAGTGTCAAGTTCTGAGTTATAAAAAAATGGTCATAAAATCTACTACAGAAAATTTTAATTTAATTAGTTTAGTCAGTCAGTTCAATATGTTTTGTGTTTATTTTTGTACTTTTAATTGAATAAAAGCTAATTTTCGCTTCACTGTCAACTTCTTTAGGTAACAGTAGCTGAAAACAAAAGTAAAAAATGAAACTAGTCCCTCATAAATAGTTGGAATTAAAATGATAAACAGAAGAACTGGTGTTTGTTCACTTTTGTTTCATTTCTGTAACTTGTCGCAGATGAAGCACTTCTGTATTTGAACAAGACGTTCGATGTTTATGTAGACGTAATTGTGATCAGAAACAGAAATCTGAACATCAAAACACTGCATTGTTGACTGTTTGCAATTTTCCAAAACAGTGTTAAACATGCTAACAGAACTGCAGCCAGCAACCAACAGCTAATTAGTGAGGAATTACGTTTCGCTACTGCTCCTTCCCAGATTCTTGTGGCTTTACTTAAAGCTCAGAGTTGTGTGTTCATACTTTGTTTTAATGAGTGGTGGGCTGTGCTCCTTTTTTTTTTTTAAAGGTTGGCTTCCTTTTATGTAGAGAAGCAGACACACTGAAGCCTGTGTTGGTGCTGTGTCCCTATGATGGATTTGTATTTTGAGGCCCCGTTCTTCAGCAGCCCCTGGGGCTCTTTAGCTCCATCATCAATACTAAAATCCCCCCATAGGTTGAACAAATCAGCCTTCTAATCCCTCCAGACAAACCAAATCCACTTCTGTCTCTGCTTGTTCGTCAGCCCCTAAGATGATTACAAATGAGGTTTTTTTTCCTTTTCTGATAGGGAGCCAAAGCTTGCTTTCTGCGTGACATCCCCTTCTCAGCCATCTACTTCCCCGTCTATGCCCACACCAAGCAGACGTTAGCAGATGACRATGGAAGGCTGGGGCCTCTGCAGCTGCTCACTGCTGGAGCTATTGCAGGTAACAAACAGCTGGAAAGCTCAGATGTTGTGTTTTCTAAAGGAATGCGTCAGATTRTCGGCCACACTTTAGTTTCCTGTTGTTTCCTCGCCAATTGGGCAGACTTTCTATTGAAGGCTTTTTGTCGTATTGCACCGTKAAGGTATAGCCATTTGGGTCCCAGCTTGACGCCGTGGCGAGCATATCAGAGCGTGACACAATTGTTGCATAGTCAAAGTGCTTTATTATGTGTTTTTGTGACAAACAAGGTGTACCGGCGGCGTCGCTGGTGACCCCTGCTGATGTCATCAAAACCAGGCTCCAGGTGGCGGCTCGAGCCGGTCAGACGACATACAGCGGAGTCATCGACTGTTTCAGGAAGATTCTCAGAGAGGAAGGTTTCAGGGCGTTTTGGAAAGGCGCAGGAGGTAGAACACTCCTCCATACACATATTTATTGTCCTACATGTGTTTTTAAGAATGGGGGGGGGGGAAAAGAAGTTAGTGGCTGACATCAAGAAAACTTTTATCTCCTGTTAGCTCGAGTCTTTAGATCATCACCTCAGTTTGGTGTGACCCTGGTGACCTATGAACTCTTACAGAGGTTTTTCTACATTGATTTTGGAGGGCAGTAAGTACTTTTAACTAGAAATAAACACAAACCTCWTATGTGGTATGCAAAACTCTAAACTGCCTCTTTCCTCAGCCGACCTGCTGGCTCCGAGCCCATTCCCAAACCCGCGGTGAAGGACTACCCCTCTGTGACCGCCGACCACGTGGGCGGTTACCGTCTGGCTGCTGCGACCTTTGCTGGTGTGGAGAGGAAGTTTGGCTTGCACCTGCCCAAGTTCAAGTCTAACGGAGAGGCGGCGAACAGAGCAGCAGATTCTGAAACTGAACCTCAGGCTTCATGAACGAGTTGACCACGAAGGCTGCATGTTCCTCCAGTCACATTTCAATTCAATGTATTTGACTGGCTGTTCTACTTTAAATGCTTGGTTATGGCTTTTATTATTTTTTGCATAGCTTGCACTTTTACTGTACATACTGTACTTCCCAACAGAAGTACACTGTGACTCAGCAGATGATTGTTACCGCTTTGTGTCTGGTGTGTGACAGCTTTGGTGTGCATGTGCCAGCTACCTTTACAAAGATGTACAGATATTTTCAAAATATTTATTTTGAAATTATAACCAGGGACGTTGGGGAATAATTTAAGTGTATTTATTGTATTTTATTGAAATAAATCATTCAAAGTGTTTTTACTGTGAAAAGAACATTCCCAGTTTTAACATCCAACTTTGAGGTTTTCAGATCCCGTCACTGAGCAGATACAGCATTCATCTGATTAGAAAACAAATACAAAGTCTGAACATTTCACCATTCTACAAACAAGTGAACATTATCGAGTCGATAGGAGTAGAGATGACAACTTAATTTACAGCGATGAGATTCTTACAATCCTGGAAGATCTGAGATGATTGTTTAACTAAAACCTATCTGGAAATGAACATTGGCTACAATATGACTGATTTTTAAAAGTTTGTGCAGTGATGCACTGATTTGGCTTGAAAAAAACACTAAAAATGAAGGCCCCTATGCTGTAAATAATGAAGGGTAAAGTTAAGGCATCTGGCAGAATAGAAAAAAAAAAAAACCCTTATGGCTTAATGTTAGTGTCTGAGGTTGGTAGCCCTGATGTCTGAGGAAGACTGGTGATGATCCAGCTAACTGACAAAGCAGGTGTMTAAGAAGAGTGTTGAAGCTCATCATCTGATACAATTTCCTCATTTTCAGTCATGTTACATCTTTTTCATCTATCAGTGCAGAACTGACATCGAACTGGTCCCTCAAACGTTTCATCCAGCGGCGCCGAGCTCACGCAGCCAGACGCTGAGCCGCCAGCTCCTCTGCATCGTCTCTGTTCTCGTTGATTTCTGTCAGCGTGCGAACAAAGCGAGTCCACTCGTCGTTTCGTGGAACGGCAGTTTGCTGTGAGGGGAGGGGGGCACAACGGAGGCGTGACTCAATTTGCACGTAACAGCCGACGTCCATTTATATGGATAATGGCTAAATAACAGACTCAAACTGCTCAGAATAGTTATTTAAATCTTTGAGGTGCTCTTTTAAATAATCTCATTAGGGTAAAGTGGCCATGCTGAGTAATTAATTGCTCGTGTCTGCAACAAAGCACGCACAAGTAATTACATCAAACTGCATTAGCTGAGATGCTTACTTACCTCTCCAACATCATACACAAGAACCTGTCCATCGGAGTCTCCCACTGCGATTTCTCTGCCAGAGTGAGACCATCTGACCCTGTTGAGAGCTGGGTTACCCTCTACTGTGACGCTGGCGGTGGGCACCTGAAATGAAAACAAACAACACTGTATACAACAAGAGGAAACAAAAACAGCAATGTTTCTGCATGCGAAAATTCTGAATTCTACCTCTGTGTCGTTGTTCAGGTTCCACAGATCGAGATGGCCGACTCCGTCCACACATGCAAACAGAGCTGGGTGGGTTGGAGACCACATGACGTCATACACGTAATCAGAGTTGTCTTCAAACGAGTACAGCGGCTTATTGTTCTGCAGGAGAGGAGAGACACGGCAGAACTGATTTATTCAAATGAATGCGYCTTCGCTCAGTTCTGGGATGTTTGCTGTGATGTTTTTTCTTGAAGCAGGARGAGACAGGGTGAACACATTCGGAGGAAAAATAAAGCAATCCAGCAGATTTTAGAAGCTGCACTAGTTTAACCAAGTGTACCTTGATTGACAACCCAATGTGAGTTTAATCATTTGAAAGACAGAAATTTTAAAATACTAAGGTTTTACTTTAAAAGGAGACATAATGCTTTTAAATCCTTCTTTTTCACATTTAAATCATTCAGTTGCGGTCTATAAAAAGTGGAATTGCAATGCTTTGGTCTGAGTTCCTCCTTATTGTAACTCCACAAGCCCCTCTTTTACCCCTTTTCTGASGTATGTCTCAGAACAACTCGTTTTGACGCTGTCTCTTTAAATCTAAATGAGACACTTCACACCCCCCCTCCAGCTTCCAAAGCGATCCCCTCCAGTTTGAGAGGGCAGAAACTTTTTATTTACAAATTGGCGGGTAGATCCAGACCTTATTTGGCAATTTCGTTGCAAATAATTTGACATAATAGTTTGGAAAATGTCATAAAAAATAGAGAAAACTGAATGGGTTGAAAAATATGACCCAAACTAAATATAAAGATATCTACACAGCAATAGGATATACTAAATTTAAATTTCCTGCACTCTTAGAGAAACAAAATGCATTTAATGGCTAAAAAGTGGATTTTGCATGATACGGCCCATTTAAACTTATTAATAAAAATATATATTTAATAAAAATGCTTTTTAATTAAAAAGCTGCAAAGCTATATGTATTAGATTTATTTTTTCAAAGATGAAATTTTATCATCAAAGATGAGAAAATTGGATGAGATGGTCTAAGTTGGAAAACTTAGCTCATGTTAGTCCTAAAGGTGCTCAAKAGGGTTGAGATCAGGACTCTGTATGGGCCACACCAAACTCAAACCATGTTTTTGTAGTCACTTGCTTTGTGCAGTCATATTGGAACTAAAAAGGGCATTTCCTGAAGCAATGATATAAAGTTGAAAGCATAAAAATGTCCAAAATATCCGGAAGTATGAAGTCATTGACCAAAACACCAGAGTTCAACAATTAACAAGTGTAGCCACTTTTACATACAAGTGCTTTTATCCAGGTAAACAAACCCAAATGCTCTCATTGTGATGGATACCTTGGTGCTCCACAGCTTGACTGTCCAGTCGAAGGAAGAGGTAACAAACAGGTGGGAGAAGTCCAGAGGTCCTGCAGCTGTGTGGCAGTGGATTCCTGTGATGGGGCCGTGGTGACCCTCAAACATCTCGCTGATCCCCGCTTTGCTGTGGAGCACACAAATCCAGTCGAGAATGGGCAAAATCACACACACTGACAAATTCAACTGAGAGGGATAATTTAATCTTTAGAAGAACCAGATGGGAAACACCGACCTTTAGTTGAAGCTTTTAAACATTAGAAATAAACAGGAAAAAATCTGAAAGGTTACCAGCCAGCGCTGCTGCTTGTAACTGTTCAGGCATTTCATTAAGCATGAAAGAAAGCAACGGGTGGAGATGGACCTCTYCTGGACATGTTCACAGTAATCATTTACTTATATCATGTAATTACCWGCAGGGAGGCAAAAAGTGCTTGTGTCTCTTCAACCACATGTTGCAGAGCTGTTATCCAACTGAGGCTCTGATAATTAATGTAGAGGGGTAAATAAATAAAATATGTTCCGGAATTGCGCCGCTGAGGGTGGCAGCACATTGGAGTAGCTCTGTTACTTATATTGAGATTTTCTTTTCTTTTCAGGCATTCATTCCTGTCTTTCTGCGGAAAAAGTAACTTTTTTGGATGGCTGTTCATTTGTGTTTTGGGTGCTGTGCAGCTGGATTGGTTTTTGCCAATACTTTTTTTATACTTTGCTTTTTGTTATGATGCRTAACATAGCAACAGGGTGGTTTACAACAGGGAGCAGCTGATTAATATTGCAAAATCTGAAATAATACATCAACTGAAGCCGCAAATTCCAGGAGTTGAAAAGGAGGCATCGTGGATGCAGAGCTGGAGCAAAGAGGCGAGAGAGAAGGAGGAAGTTCAAACCATCACTTCCATCAATCCTAATGGGCAATGTGAGATCATTAGCTAACAAACTGGATGAACTTCAAGCTGTGACAAGGACTCATCAAGAGTATAGGGAATGCAGTATAAAAAAAGCTGATAATGAAGAAATTTTGAGTCTGGTAAAAAATCTTGCTGACAAAAAATCAAAAGACTGGATGGACATGGACATGACGCTTGTAAAAGAAATAATGAATTATGTGATTGAACCATTTACATATATCTGTAATCTATCATTTTCAACTGGTACATTTCCTGACAACATGAAAACAGCCAAGGTAATTCCTCTTCTTAAAAATGGTGAAAAA